CTTGTTACTACTAGTAAGGCACTTGTTACTACTAGCGTGGCACTTGTTACTAGAAGCGAAGGGTTCTCCACCCTACAAGCGATGGCCTCTACCCCTAGTGGCTTCTTGCTCCATGTAGAAAGGCCAGGAGCTACGTTCGTAGCGTCCGATCGCTCCGTTCGTAGCAATGCCCTTTGCTCCGTTCGTAGCGAACATGGCTACTAATTGTCCCACAGCTGGCTTTTAACTTTTCCATCTCCAACCGAGTCGGCCATCCGTTTCAACACCACGGCCGAGTCCGGCCTGGCCAAGTCTTGGTTTGTTAACCCTTTGTCCTCGGCCGGTTTCATCGAAAGCTGAAGACGATGGTCTCGATGAACCAAAAAGTCTCCGACGAGCAAGCGGACAACTCTGCGACAAGACCATGACATTATGACATTCACCGGTAAAGCCACTGGTGGTTTGGGATATGAAAGCAACACGAGCTGCAGCAAAGGTTTCCTCTTACATGACTATGTGGTCGCAAGTTGGATGGTTTTGACCTCATTATCAACTCACCACCCAGGAAAATCTGAGTCTCTCAAGTTTCCTCCGATCTCACAGAGCTAACAAGCCTGGTTCAAGTCAAGCCGGATTTCAAACCTCAGGCATCCTGATCCATCGAACGGAAGTAAACTGTGCGTCACCCTCCGTCTTGTCTTGACCTGAAACACTATAAACATACCCTTATATATATATATAACATTTACCAACATACTTCAAGAAAAAGACTTTAAGGAACCACACCAACAATGGCCTCCAGCCTACTAGAGAAATCAGGAAACCAAGGCCCCTCCGTCTTGACCTGAAAAATTGGAGGAACAATTCCAAGGGTCACCGGACGGCTCTATGCAGCAAAGGAGCTTTCTGCTTCTGCTTGGCCGCACCACAACCCATCAGCGTACGCAAATGAAGAGCAAGAGAAATCAAACGATCACAAACGCTTGAATGGAGTCGACTAACAGACTTGCCAGTTGGCTGTCTTGCGATGTCTCCAGATGGATTGGGTGAGGTCTGGGTGGATGTCAGGTGGCAATGTCAGTTGACAATCCTTCATGAACATTTCAATCTATCTGTGCTTTGCACGTGGATGACCCTCTCCCCTCTTTACTTGTGGGGTTCTTGGAATACATTCGCCATCTACCCGACCTTCCGACGCACGTGTGGTACGATAACTGTATCTTTGAGCGACATCGATGTATGTGCTCAACCGAGGCTGGCAGGAGTCAAGAGCCAGAATGGGCGGTGTTTCGGTGGGGAAAGGATTTCAACATGGCCAGATGGGTGTGTTTTTTCTCACTTGTCCTTCTTCCAGGTCAAACTGGGAGGTCAAGACCTACTGTAACACACACACACACACAAAAAACATCCCCCAAAAACCGAAACCACGACTCAATCACAATCCTCTTTCTGCAAATCCATTCGCTCCATTCCGAGTGACATCGCTTCAGCTTGGAGTCCCAAAGGGCAGCCGAGGGGGTGCACTTTGGGGAGTCGAAACCCGCTTGCCGCGGCGTGCCGCGGCGTGCCGCGCTCCGCGTTCGGCCAGCTCCGCGTCGCTCCGGCGTCGAAGAGTCAACTGGCCATAACGACATCGCTACGAGTAACAAGGGCCTTACTACTAGTAGCAAAAGGACGCTACTAGTAGCAAAGGGCATCGCTACTATGAGCAAAACTGCTACTGGGCTCCTGGCCTTACTACTAGTAGCAATGTTGGCTACTAGTAGTAATGGCCTCCACCCTCGTAGCGATGGCCTCCAACCTAATAGCTTCTTTTCTCGGTTCCCGGCGGAGCTGGTCACAACGTCTTTCCCTTCGCCTGAGCAGCTCGGTCCGATCGGTTGGTTGGATCTCCCGAAATCGGTGCCGCGCCACGTGGTGGTGTACCGTGGATCTCCGAGATCCACATCGTCCGAAGTGTGCCACCTTTTCCATATCTTTGGGCCGAGAGGCTGTCCACCTTCAAGCTCTTCCAATTGGCCAAAAGCCAACTCCTGTCGGTTTCAACCCAAGCACCAGTCTTTTCCAGTGCTGGAAGACAGCATGACGCGGACCTCCATACACCTCGTTGTCGACACAGCATGGAGCACATCTGAGAAACACAAGTAGGCTAGGTGCACCATGTGATCAATATTTTTTGGGGTGTTGAAGCGGCTCTGAAAACATCGACTGGGAATCTGTAGCACAGATCCATTTGGACCCTATGACCAATGACCAGTCTAGCCAAATGAACTTTTGGCAGCTTTGAGAATCCTTTTCAACATCAACAAACTTGGGGACAAACCCTAACATAAAACATCAGCACAAAACTAGAATGGAACGGGTCCAAACAGAAAACACACACACAAAAAAGACGGGTCTTTGAAACATGAAAGAAGGGCCGACAAAAACACCTAGGACGACATGCAGGAGACAATGGGTTGGAGGCCATTGCTAGTAGGTTGGAGGCCGCTCTTCAGAACGGAGGTCTTTCAAGAGGTCATCAAACTCCGACGAGTGAGCAGAGGGTTTCCCATTGTCTATGATGCAAGTCTTGCAATTCTCGCTTCGATGCTGCATGTCGTTTGGAGGCCATTGCTATCAGGTTGTTTTTTGCTGTTGGCAGTAATGCCCTTTGCTCCTAGTAGCGTTCTTGCTACTAGTAGTAAGGCCAGGAGCTACTAGTAGCGTTCTTGCTCCTAGTAGCGATGCCCTTTGCTCCTAGTAGCTATAGTTGCTCCTGCGTTGGAGGCGAACGACGGCAGGTCTCCCCCAAAAACACCACTGCTCGAGCCCTCCTGATCTCGTCGGATCCGATGAGGCCTCGTGGTGACGAACAGATATTCGACAGCGTGACGAAAGGAAAAACAAAGCAAAGGCCTTTGTTCCTAGTAGCTTCTTGTTACTAAATTTAAGGCACTTGTTACTAGAAGCGAGGCACTTGTTTCTACTAGCTTCTTGTTACTACAAAGCTCTTTTTAAAACCCGTGGAGGCCTCCTGCCTCCTTACTCAATTAAGTAAGGGAGAATCTTGTTCGCTCCTAGCCATGGATGCAGGATAGTTCACGCTTCTTCAAGAAAGCTCCCCCACCCGAGGGCGAGGTGGAGCTTCCTTGAAGAAGCGCTTGCACTAATGATTTGGTTCCTAGATGTGTCGGGACACTTGACTTTCGGGCCTGAAGAAAGATAAATAAAGGAAAACAGGGAATCCGATAGGAAAGCTGACTTGGAGGTCTTCAGTGATCGTGAATGATCGTGACCCCTTGTACCTCCTATATGACATTCATGCTAAGATTGCTTTTTCTTCACACTCCCTGAAATGATAGTAGAAGTGGAATATAGGCCACTAGAAAACAATCTTCCTCTACAAACAACTGTTTTCCTACTTGCATATTTATAACTCGCAGAGGAATTCTTATTTTTTTTCTCCTTTCCTTTGATTTCTTTTCGTTTCTTTTCTTTCCTTAGTTTGACCTTTAGAGGGATTGTTAATCTTCCCACTTCCTCCTGAACTTGGTAGTAGTCCACCAGGGTCGAGGAAGTATGACTCACTCACTTCCAACCTGGGTGGCAATATCACCTGCCACATCCTGCCACTTACTTGTCATTCTTGAAGCCCTTTCCCAGTGAGTGCATATCTGCCCATTCCATCTCAAGTCGTCTTGCTTTCAGCAAGGGAAAAGGAAGAAAAGCGAAGGCAAGGAAACAGACAGGTCCAAAGCAGGGGAACGCACACATGAGCTAGAAGCTACTAGGAGCAAAGGGCATCGCTACTAGGAGCAAGGACGCTAGTAGGGGCTCCTGGCCTTACTACTAGGAGCAAGGACGCTACTAGGAACAAGAAGGTCAAAAAAGACACAAGCAGAGTCACGGCCCCTTGTGGCTCACTTGCCACGGGACTCTGCCCTGGGACTCCGGACTCTGCCACGACCCGTTCGTGCCCTTACACGAGACCTTGCGCTTGTGGCTCGGGGTGGGTGGCAAGCGGAGGCACCCTGGTTGCTACTAGTAGCAAGTGCATGCTACTAGTAACAAGATGCCTTACTACTAGGAGCAAGAACGCTACTAGTAACAAAGGGCATCGCTACTAGAAACATGCGTTGGACCTATCGGCTTTGCTCCAAAATCAGCGCAGCTTGTTCCAACGATGTATGGAACCGTATCCTGACGTATGAGCTTGAACTACCCGTATGAACTCGAACTACTCGACCTTCACCAACACGAAGCAAGGAGCTAAGGAGCTCCGTAAAACGAAACGTTTCTTTTCCAATCAGCAATGTCCTTTACGAGAGCCTTTCTCCTCAAGCTCTCAAGCTGGGTCATGTGCCTGGGCCGCGATGTACTCGTAGATCCTAGACGTGCGCTTGTGGATCTTGCTTCATATTCTCGGGGTGCAACAGGAATTTGGAGGAGACCAAGCGACACGGTGATGATTAATGATACGTTTTTCTTGGCCAGCTGTGCAATGTTACTTTTGGATAGCGTTCTCAATGGCCATTGGACGCCATGAAAAGGCGACTAAAAGGCGACCAAACGGCGCCCTGAACCACTCACTGTGCAGAATCGAGCAATTCCCCACCGCCACCCCCTCCTCTGTGCCAGCGGATGCTCGGCTGGGGTGACCTGAGTGGCACATCGGTCGAACGTGTGGATGCGACGGAAAGCAACGAGTAACGGGCATCGCTACGAACGGAGCAAAGACGCTACTAGGGGCTCCTGGCCTTACGACTAGGAACAAGGACGCTACTAGGAACAAAGGGCATCACTTCTAGGAACAAGAAGCTACTAGTAGCAAGGTAGGGTCGAGGTAACTCGTCTGAGGTGGCACCCGCCAACACCTTTCTTCTAAAAGGTTCATGCTGACTTGGAGATGCAACCGGCCAAACACAACATTTCACCCGCTGAATGATCCTGGTTGTACAACCCTGCAAATATGGAAGGTGCAAAACTATGTTTGTCTGAAAAAACTTCCTGCATCCAAAGCCAGGCTCTGTTCACAACCGCAGCAATTCTCTGCTTAGGATTTCACTTAGATGTTTCACGAGCCAGCTTGCATCCTGGCCTCTTCAGGCTTCAGCAAAACCTGTTGTTGTTCGAGGCCAACTCATGGCAACCAATTCTTGATCTAGCAAAAGAGTGGCCAGTGGCCCAGGAAGGCTCCTTCTCAAACCACGTGGCGTAGCTTGCGCCCTCAAGGAGCACGTCCTCCAAGCCATTGAGCCTTTGCCTGAAGAATGCAATGTCAAAGTGGTGTCTTTGCGCTGTCGGCACACGTGCGCTCACGCTGTCTGAAGGGGCAATGAACCGGCAACACATCGGACAACAACACGCTTCTGCGGAAGCTATGTATGCGAACCTCTGGACGGTATGCTGCTACGGTACTGAAAACATGGTCATTTTCGTAGTTCTTGTGCTATCAACATACCGCAACATAGTTACCTCACAACATTACGTTGAGTAGTAGGTTGGAGGCCATCGCTATTAGGTTGGAGACCATCGCTTAGACTTTTGACGTTTTCATCCCCACATGGCAAGCCAACGAGAGCCGAGGGATGGATCCAAGACTTCAAAGCCGCGCCTCCGGGCCGCCTGAGTCTTGGCTTCATGTTGCTCCTCCCAAAGGTCAATGCAGTTCGGAGTTTTTTGGGATCAGTTTTCTATATGACTCTATGGGTGTTTCATATCTTGCCAAAAGTTTTACATGTTTTCCATTTTTAGTTTTACTTAGACCTTTCACTCACTTTTTGCCGTTTTTCTCTCTTCCTTGGATAAACAGCAACATGATGCAATATGTATGAGTGGGCGCTGATTCGGAGGCATAATAGGAGTGCACGACTGCTTCAAAAAATGGTGCCCAAGCGTCCTCTCAAACTCTTAGATGAAAATCCTTTTTGTTTCACCTCTTTACTTCTGCGAGTCTTGTATAAAAAAGACATCACATCTCTTCCAAAACCAATGTCAATTGTCGCTTTAGACGGCAGGCATGAAATAAACATATCCATGTACTAAACTCTTGCAACAAAAGCACATCCCTCAAACGCTTCGAGATACCTCATTCTATACCACAAGTTTCCCTAAAGATCTAGGAACCAAATCATTGAGCGATCCTGCATCCAGCATGTAGTAGAGCCCCAGTAGCTAGGAGCGAACCAGTTTCTCCCTTATAAGGCAGGGGGCCCCCACGGGCTTTAAACAAACACACACACACACATACTTCCCTATATACCTTCATGCGGAAACCAGTGCAAAAAAGCATCACTTCTCAGAGGAAGGGTGGACCGCAAACAAAATCAGAAGACTGGGCGGTCCAGGCTCCTGTTTGGGTCCAAGGACAAATTTCCATTTGCAGGGACATAATTGAATCAGCAATAGATATATTTGAACATCTAAATGTCATAGGGCACCCTGAGTACATGTGTTTCCACCCAAATGTGGGATGATTCCTGCATCTATGCAGGTGCTTCAAAGGGATGCTTTCAAGTGAAGGTAGATGCATCCAGATGTAAGAAAACCTTTTCATATGTTCTTTGGAAACACAGAAGGGGATGCTTCATCACCAGTAACATTGATGTGTACGTGAATTGTGTGGAGGATGTTTGGATCGAAGGGGGCTGCGAAAAGCGAAGAAGTCCCTCAAAACAGCGAAAGATTAAAGACTGTCCCTTTCTCTTTCGACTTTTGGAGATTTCTTTTCTTTCGTCTTCGTCCTTTCTTTCTTCCATCCTTCCTTGATTCCTTTGCCGCCGCAAAGCTATCAGCCGTTTCCTTGCGACCGTCTTCTGTTCTCTGTGGCCCTTGACACACTCCGCCACTGAGGGATCTCTCCTCCGACTTGGCGTCCGGGATTTGGCCACCGCCATTGAGGCAGCCTGGGGGAAGATCTGGAAGGTGGAAGTGTGGGGAGCTTGGATCATGTGTGGATCATGTTTCTATCTACAAACATCAGTTCTTCGGGTTTTCGGCAAAATGGCTCATAGGGTGAATTGGAGAATCTATTTGTTCACACCCATTGCCTTTGGGTATTGCCGTTCCGGCCTCCAGGACAGGCCATGATCTCGACAAAGTGGCCCACGTCTTTGAAGGAACCGTTTGTTCCATTCAACTGTCGGGCTGTGCCAACCGACCGAGCGCAAGCTGTCGGCGCGAGTCCATTGAAATAGGGTCTGCCAAAAAGAAGAGGCTTTAGTCTTCAGTATGCTATTGGGAACCATTGGTGCGGAGTGAAAACAAGTCATGTAAAACGGGGAAAACCATACTTCTACCATCTTCTCAAGCTTTTTAGTATGTCTTGGAAGCTTCTTAGTAACTAGAAGCTACTAGGTTGGAGGCCATTGCTACTAGTAACAAGAAGCTACTAGTAACAAGTCTTTCAAGTTTTTCAAGTCTTTCGTTGTTTTGTGTACGCGGGGACGAGCTTGTCAGAGACCTCGTGACGTTGCTGGATGGCGCCTTAGCCACTCGACGGATCACCTCGGTGGAGGGGTTCAGCTGGTCGATTTGTATTTTCTCTTACTACTAGTAGCACAAGGACGCTACTAGGAACAAGTGCATCGCTTCTAGTAACAAGTGCCTTACTAGTAGTAACAAGAAGCTATTAGAAACAAGTGCATCGCTTCTAGTAACAAGTGCCTTACTAGTAGTAGAAACAAGGACGCTACTAGTTGATGCCTCTGTCGCCCTCCGTGAGGCCCGTGCCTCTCGGAGGTCTTCGTTCTGCTTGGTCTGCAGCACCAGCGGACTGGATGACACTTCCATCGCGAACCTCAGCGAACTGCGACCGTGTGGTTCCACACAGTGAGAAGAAGGGGGGAAGGCACGGAGCCTGTTTGGGTATTTCACATCTGATCACATCTACTAGGAACAAGAAGCTACTAGGGGCTCCTGGCCTTACTAGTAGGAACAAGAGGACGCTACTAGGAGCAAAGGGCATCGCTACTAGAAGCATGCCCATTCCCATCGAACTCCATCACACAAGATCACCTGTTTACTTTATTTCCTTAGCAACGGATGGTTCCCACACGAGCGAAATATAGAATGATCTGTAAAGAATCAGGAACATGACCGATGATTCCTTTGCCCTTTTTGCAGACGATCTTCAGTTTTGACTGGTTCATGTATGGCATGAACATTCCTGCCTAAATCCATCAATTCTTCTCAAAAAGATCAATTCCACGATGCTCCGAGGCCTTTCATCCGATTTCCTTCGAGGCGCAGCTCTTGTGCCGCTTCGCGGAAGATGTGCTCCAGAAAGCCGCCCGACCTTGCCCACTGCCCGACGGCACCGGAGTAGGTAGTGCGCCAGCGGCGGCTTTCGCCCTCTGGTTTTAAGGGAAGTCGTTTGAAGAAGTTGAAAGAAGTGTAACACCTGCAGCTGCAGGTGACCTGCTTAGAATTGTTCTTCCTTGTACACCCGAACGCCCTATGAGTGGGGTAGCCAGAACTCTGCGTCGTGATCCTAGCCCAATTCCTCACCGGTCAGATGAACACGGACCCATTTTTCAGAATCCCCAACTGAACGCATCGGTCACGGCTAGGCGAATCCAGCTCGGCTTGGCTCTGCATGTTTTGCAGGATTCGCTCGTTCGGTAGTCCGCCTGATGAGGACGCGATCCTTGATCTTTTCCATCAATCCTTTATCGAACAAACACTTGCGATCCGCCCTACTCCTTACTCAAATCGACCTTGTGATCCAATGAAGCTGTCACTGTCGTTGTCGAACGGAAACTGGAAGGCGTGCTTTTTCAAGAATAGCTGGAATGGCTCAATAGACTTCTCTGAAGAAACAGCTTGCACCTCCCTGACATCCCCTGGATCGATTCAGTTCGCTTGAATCAAGATCAAATTCAGTGATTTGCTTGATACATTGACCATCATTTTCATTTTTCGATCCATTCTACCCTGATCGTCAACAAAGGTGATACGAGCTGTGCCTTATTCACCGCCGGAAGAAAACACCGACCGTCGATCTTTGAGTCTCCTGACCCTGCATTCCCTCTCACAGCACGGCTCAGCGTGTCCTCAGGTCAGGCTCCCACCGGTAAGACATAGTAAGACAATAGTAAGACTACTAGGTCTTCCATACGATGGCCTCCAACCTAATAGCGATGGCCTCCCACTTCCAACTTAGGTAAGACAGAGTAAGACTACTAGGCACGACCTAGGTATGATGTGGAGTCAGTGTGGTTCTTTGCTGTCGATCTCAGCTTCAGCCAGTGCTTCGGTCGTTCGGATAGTTTCGGGAGGTGCCGTTCCGAAGCACCCAATCAGTTGAGCCCTTACCCCGCACCCATTGCAACCCGTGCGATGCGGGAAAACTCGTGCCGTGCCTGAGGGTGCCCTAAAAAGAGATCCGTGAAGACCTGGCAGAACGGTCTCTCACTGTGCTCGATTGTGCGCTCTCGTCGATGGAAGTCCTTTCTGCTGCGCTCGTCGTCTCACCGCTCTCCGCACCGGTTTTGGGGGGGCCCCAAATTGGCTCCGAATTCGCTAGGGGTGGATGGAGGAGAACCCAGGGCGGTGGAGCATTCTAGTAGTATTGTTGCTACTAGTAACAGCAGTGGAGCATTCCTCGAATCAACCATATGACCCGACAAACAAGGAATATAGGCGATTAGTCACCAAGAATGGAAGGCATGATGGTAAAAATAAATCAGGTTGGAGGCCATCGCTAGTAGGATTGAGGCCATCACTAGTAGGTTGGAAGCCACCGCTAGTAGGTTGGAGGTCATCGCTAGTTACTTAGTAGGGTGGAGGCCATCGCATTGTAGTTTTGTTTTCCGTTCATGTGGTTCCTGGTGTAAATCCACAGCAGATAAAATGCCTCATGGGCTCCAAGCTTGTGTGGTGTTTTCGGTGCCCGAAAAACACCGCGCCTCACTCTGGATCGAGACCGGCGGCAGCTTTTGGGGCTCTGTCTTCTGGGCGAGGTGGCGAGGTGTCTCCGTTCGTTGCGATTCCTTTGCTCCTAGTAGCGTCCTTGCTCCTAGTAGCGATGCCAGGAGCCCCTAGTAGCGTCTCCTTTTGCCCTTAAATATGATCACAAATCACGCTTTGAATGATTCGACTCAAGGGGATGTTGATGCCAGTGTGTCACATGGCATTCTAACCCACAAAGCCTTGTCCACTCTTGACTGAATGTCTAGTAGTTTGATGTAATTCTATATATGTTGCTACATTTGACAGAGACATTGCCTAATTCCTGGGTTCGAAGCAGCCTAATTCCACAGGGTGCAGACCCTCTTCGTGTCGCGTGGAGTGAAAGTACTTGCCTTCTATGGACCCCAAGGGGCCCAGCATACCCATGTCAATCTGCAGAGTACAAACATCAGCATCTTTCTTTTGTAAATTGCCCGAAGGCCGGTTTCGTTTCTAACTGTAACTGCTTTCACACCCTTTTTGCTCGATGACTGTCTCTTGACCCCCCAGCGCAAACATGCTGTATCATGTATGTAGATTGGAACATGACAGAAAAAAGGAACAAGTAGACTTCTGCGATCAACACAGAACACTCAGAAAAAGAAGTGCAAATTCAACAACTTCCCTTCAAGTCTTCTGATATCGCCAAGACTTACAAACAAGGCATCGTCCATAGATTTGGTTGATCTCTTCTCAGAATAGAACAGTGCCATGTATCTCAAGGATGAGCACAACAAGAGGCTGAGGGCATCTGACACAACTACTTCGAAACACGAGCAGAACGAATGCAATGCCGATGAGAAAACACCCACACGCAAAATGCCACACGGACATTCCACTCTTTGAAGGTTTGTGTTCTCTCGTCTTGTCTGGTGTAATATTCTGATACAAACGTCACAACATCTTGGCTTTTTCTCCCAGATCCGCAAACAATGCACACAGCTTCCTTACATAATATGAGTGTCTGTGTCCCTAAACATCTAGGAACCAAATCATCAGTGCGTGAGCTATCCTGTGTCCTAGCTAGGATCCTAGTAGCATACTTCCGCATACTGAATCAAGTAGGCGCCAACTTAACTGAGTATGGGCGGGGCAAACCTCCTTTTTCCAAACATCTCTCCCACTCGCCTCGCAAGCAGACTTGCCACATCCACCGCAGCAGCCTTCACCGGCTTCGCGGAGGAGGTCCAAGAGCTCCGTGGCCGTGAGCACGGTGTCCACCTGGCGCGTTGTGCCCGAGTGGCGTTCGCTTCTGCTGGACGCAAAGCTATCCTCACGCACTGATGATTTGGTGCCTATTTTGGAGGGAAAAACACAACACTTTGATGGTTTCTTGGTAACGACTCTTTGGGCGTCGGCGAGAGGATGGCTAGTTGGCGTTTTGGTGAAAAAACATACACCTCGGCAGCGATCAATGGGACAAGCGGTAGACAGGATCGAGAAGCGAAAGAACCACGTCTCTTTGGCTTCTCACCCCGAAAGGCCTCAGAATGCCGGTGTCACGTCGATGTCATGGGACCCCGCTTCAAACATGAGTCTGACATTGATCGATCAAAACTGGAGCAAAGTTGTGCTGAATGTTGAAGACCCAAGGAGTGTCCGTTTCCAGTAAAGTATGTTGCCTTGAATGTACCACTTGGCTCAGCTGATCTGGTTTGAATGCGTCCACTCCACGGCCTCCTTGATGCCTGATGCGTCCGGCCTCGGTCGATGCGGTCGATGCAGGGCGCATCAAAGTCCCCAGAGAGGGTGTCTGGGTCCCTTGGAATAACGGCCCCCTTCAGGGCCTTTTTAGAGGTTCCCTTACATGACTTTTCTTTCTTCTCTGCTTCCCAATATGACTTCACTACGACTCAACTACAGGAGCCATCTATGAAATGCTGTGGATGGTCATGTGCGATTGTTGAATTGTCACATGTCATCTTGTTCCTACAAATGGTCTGTTTTTTTCCAAAGGAAGACAACATTGAGATACAGTATCTCTAAAGAACCAAAGGACAGGTTCGGAAAGGTCTAAAGGTGTGAAAAAAGGAACGGCACAAAAGACGCGTATGTACATATAGCATTGTTTTTGACAAAGAGCTGACCAAGGGTCCAAGGGTCTAGGTCTTGGAGAGTATTCCGGTCTTGAACGCGATTTGCAAGCATTTGGTCTTCGACTGTGAAATTTGAAGACAGTACAATTATGACATACTTAATATGTATGATGTTTTTTACAATTCCCTTCTTATTTAATGTCCGTGGCCTTGCCTGCTTAATCAAGTAGGTGCCTACTTAAAAAAGGCGGGGGGGAGTTTCCTTGAAGAAGCGCTCGCACTAGTGATTTGGTTCCTATGGGTTTTGGGACACCCGAGTAATTGTATTGGTTGTCTCCGTAGCAACTATGAGCATAGATTCGATGTTCTTAGGACCTTTCCCTCGTTTCGCTTCTGCTTGTGTTCCTTAGACCTTTAGACCTTTCTTTATTCCTTCCTTTCTGCCTTACTAATCCAGTGTGGTCACCTTTGAGCGCGCTAGATGCAAACACACGCAAGCCATCCTGATCCCTTCGCTGTGTGTTTTCTCTTTCTCTTCGCTGGCCAATGTCGAGAGGATTTGCATTTTCGAAGAGGTCCTCGAAATTTTGAATCAGATGATTAAGCCGTCGCAGCGTGGGGCGACTTCTTCTCGTGCAAGGTTTAATTGGGTTTATTGAAATGGATTCAATCTCCGGGCAAAGATGTGTGGCTATACAAGGACACCTGCAGTTCTACTACTTGGATTGACAAAGAGCCCAAAGATTTCTTTGAAACTCGCCGCCTGCCCTTTCTCGCCGCAATTGGCGGGCACCAGAAAGTGACACCAGCACTTCAGGCACCGATGGAAATTATTTGAGCCTGAAGTGGCTTCCAATGGTTAGTTGCTATATGTTCCTAGAACCCATCCGATCCCTTTTTGATAGGACATGACAGCATTCTCAGTGGGTCGCTCAAAGAAAGGGATCAAATCGGTTCAAGGGTGCTTTGGCTAGCCACGAGATGCGCCTTCCTGCGCAGCAAGTGCCCTCTTCCCACTATATTTTAGGTTAATTCTAATAGCTTCTTGTTACTACTAGTAAGGCCCTTGTTACTACTAGCGATGCACTTGTTTCTAGTGACTTCACTAACCATCCCAAACCTCAGGCTTCACCTCACGGCACGAATTGGCATCAAGCCTGCCCAAGGGTGAGGTCACTGGTCTCCAAACCACAGGATGCTCATCGGACTTCAAACATAAACTTGATCAGTCGGTCTGTCTGTCTGTCTGTCTGTCTCTGTCTACAAACCAAAACCACCTGAAGAACGTCGGACACCATTGAGCACTTGATGCAGATAATTACTAGTAGCTTCTTGTTCCTAGACCATTGAGCAGGACTTGATAAAAATAATTACTTAAAATTTCAATGCAATTGCCCTCTCCAGACCACCAGTCCGCAAGTGCGTTGCTTCGAGTCGGGGAAAACCCCAAAGGGGAGAGCTACACGGCGACTGGGGCGCTGCTCTTCACGAGAAGAGCGTGGCCGCCATTCCACGTGAACGGCGAATTTGATGAACGACCCGAGGAACGCAACCTGCGGTGCTTTAAACGGTGGGGTCCTAGGGAATCACACTGATCGCTGACGGGCAAAGCCATCCTGAGCTTGGCATGATGCAAGTCGGAAACAAATCAAAAGAGCTGTCTTAAGACGATCTAGCAAAGAACTGGTGAGTGTGTGTTTACAAGGCATATCCATATATGTACCCGAACCAAACAACATTGTTCCATTCCAAGTCTGAGATGAGGTGGGATTAGGTTGGAGGCCATCGCTATTAGTAACAAGAAGCTACTAGGGGCTCCTGGCATCGCTACTAGGAGCAAGGACGCTACTAGGGCTCCTGGCCATACTACTAGTAACAAGAAGCTACTAGGGGCTCCTGGCATTACTACTAGGAGCAAGGACGCTACTAGGGGCTCCTGGCATCGCTACTAGGAGCAAGGACGCTACTAGCTCCTGGCCTTACTACTAGGAGCCAAAATGAGTCCTGGCAAACGACGGCAGGGGCCAACAGGAAACGCACCTGTGGGCATGTCCAAGGCAGTGCCTTACTCGCTTCACAATCCGACTGGCGGGAGGGGGTGTATCCATGCTAGAACCTATGTGAAACCTCAGCATGGACGAGGAAATGGATTGATCATATATGATCATATTCTATCCCTCTTATCCAATCTGTTGAATGTCATCAAAGCAGTTTCAAACGGGGGAAATTCCTTGGGTTTTCAAGGGTCTCCATTTGCTCGCATTCTTGATCACAGAAACTTGAGAGAAAAAGTCGAGCAACATCTCCACCACACCCACAACAGTCCACGACAGAATTCATCTCTACATGTACTTCTTCTGGTCGAGACCTTTTTGATCCTTTCATAATCTTTCATCATTTGGTCTTGGGGCCACTTGTTTATGGGAAACACGGCGGACATCTTCCAGATCTCTTGATCTTCTGACTTCGGACAAATCATCGAGCTCGAGCATCATCGGCATCAGACTCTTCTGCCATCTGCTCCATAAGTTCATCTTTAGAGTTGTGGGCTTTCAGCAAAGCAATGACTTTGTCATGGGAGCCCCCACCTTGGTCGAAGCAGTCCCTGAAACATCAACCTTTGGAAACGGAATGTCAGGTGGACATGTCCTGAATGGTGCTGTTTTCCATTGGCTCATTTTCCAGGTCATGCCTCTAAAGAATGACAAACGGATATAGATCATATATCAACTTTCGTAGCTTCTTCGGTTGCGTAGTGGGTCTTCTTTCCGAAGAACAACCTGAAAAAGGCTGTTTGGGCACCAAAGTTTTGGGGCGACCTCCTATTAACAAGGACGCTACTAGTAGCTCCTGGCATTAATAGTAACAAGAAGCTACTAGTAGCACCTAAAAAAGACTCGTCTTGGGCTGTTGAAGCTGAAGCCAGGGCGCGGTTCGCCGCCTTTGCCATCTCCAAGGCGGTTAAGCCTCGTGGACTCTTTTGCCGCAGCTTGGAGCCGTTAAGCAGAAGAAAACGGACTGCTCGATGATCTCCTGGCCGCCAAGCAACACTAACATGGTGTTGGCTCGTGTGACTCGTGTGAGTTCAGCGAAAAAGGGAGGAATACATCGCCTAATTAGTGATCAAATCTGTGAGAACCACAGTCGATGGTGGAGATGGCAGAGCTTGTTTTCTCGAAATCCTTACAGCATCAGTGCACACCAGTGGCTGAAGGAGGAGTACTCCGTTTTCGCTGAGTGTCATTGCTACCCTCACAGCGTGGGGCTTGTGCTTCTAAATTGGGAATTGCTTGTGCTTCTTTCGGAGAATCATTTGAGGTGGTTTTCCTGTCGCGGGGCTTGTTTTTCTAGCTCTGAAAAACACACCACCCACTGGTAGTAAGCAGTCACTGAGTTGACAGAGTTCATGGTGGGATGGTCAAACACCTCTTTCGTCGAAAAGAACCAGTGTTCATCCCTCTTGCCGGAGCACCAGTGCTGTTGGAGAATCCCTGAACACTTCCTCCACAACTGGTGATTTGGTGTAACCCGCCAAACAAGATGGAGGGTCAAACCATCAATCTACCTATCCAAGGACTCGTGAAGCTTCCAGGAGATGTGGACCCTTCGGCCTTCGTCCAGACTTTCACGTGGCGGCTTCTTCCCGCGCGAACGAATTTTCATTTCGGAGATTTCGGCTGAAGCTACGCAAGTGCATCGCTACTAGGAACAAGTGCCTTACTAGTAGTAACAAGAAGCTACTAGGAACAAGTGCATCGCTCCTAGGAACAAGTGCCTTACTCGCCATTATTTGGTGTTTTATGCTTGATGTGGCTTTGCGCATGCGGAAGACCAAGTCATTCAAGGGGCCCTTCTTCCCCAAGACCATGATTTCTTGATGTACCTTCTGGACGATCTTGCACCAATCTTTCCCAAATCATTTCGACCCCACAATTTCCTTCCCCCTCGCAGCTCAAACGCCCACGGTGACTGGTGCAGCTCAGACACCCACGTATGCTGCAATATGGAGAGGACACACTTCCATGCCTGCGGAGGAAAGAACGACTCCCGAGAACGGGTGTCAAACATCCACCCGAAACCAAGTCCGGCTCGGTTTCGGAGCCAAGTCCTGCACCTGAGGCATTTTCTCTCGTTTAGTGCATCCTACAGAGCTCCATGGAGCAATGGGTTTCCTAAGTCCAAAAGAGGATGAGTGTGAACTGAAGCTAGTCCCCACCCATCCTCTGCAAGTGTTCACCCCATAGGTCATGTCTTAGGCTGACGATCCAGTCCTGGAAAGCTGAAGCCCAGCTCACGAACGTGCTGTTTCCTCGGCTTTTTTTGCATGATCAAGAAAGCTGCAAGTTGCGCAGATATACTCAGGTAGTCTGATTTCCCCCTGATTTTTAGGAGCAAATGGGACTATGCTGTATCAGGGTAGTGACCACAGAGATGCAAACAAGCTAGCATCTTTCGAGATCTTTAGCTTTGGCCCACGCCCAAACGGATAAGGCTTGGTGGTCGAACCAACCAACACAAGCGAAACCACTGTGGTCCATGGAAAAAGCGACATGCAACGCCAACGAAGGGTTCTTGCGTCATCAACACACTATTTCACACGTGCTCCATTAACCAAAACAAGATCTGCTTGCTACCGAGTATTGGTCGGAAGTGGCAAGTTCAGTGGACTGGAGGACATCGCTATTAGATTGGATAAAGGATTAGGATCTGTTGTTCAATGAAGTTACAGTTCATCAATGGACTACATTTCAGACCCTGATTGCCCCCGTCGCCCGTCGCTCCGAGCTGCAGGAGGGCAGAGGTCCTAGCAGAAAACGAGGATGCGGTGTGAATCGGGGTGTTGAAGGTAGGTTTGGCGGTAAACAAACAGAAGTAGCAATTCTTTTTTACATAAATCCGTCCTTTAAACAAAGTCGCTTAACTTAATGCAAAGTTGATTTAATGAAGACTCATGAATGTATGCTATATAAATTGTATAAACTCTCTGTGTATTTGCGAAGCACTTATGCATATCAAAGTGCATATCAAATAGCCAAATCCAATAGAACTCTGCATGGACAGCTCCAAGAACACCTGTGCATAGACTTTGGTAGTCCCTCACACTTTCTTTGGATCTTTCTCCTCTAGTCCTGATCTCATAAGATCTTCTTCTCCTTTCTTTCTTGTTCTCTGAACTTTTCTTTTCTTTGTTCCTTTCTTAGAAAGCAACAAACCACCGAAGCATCCCATCTCGCCCCTTCGCCCCTTGGCCAACAGAACGGGAGTCGGTCCGTCCTCATGCCCTCCCAAATCCAAACTGCATTTCGTGTACCCCTGGACAATTTCTTCTTGCTCGATCTCGTCGTCGTCGTCGTCGTCGTGAATTCACTCGTGGCGCGACTGGCCACCTGAGCGATGTCCGAACTGCGCATGCTGAAAAGGGCCGAGCCCTTCGGCCACTGACGGCGAGCGATCATCCGACGGCCCTCGGGGAAATTCGCTTCACGATTTAAGTCTGGGCAGACTTGGCCACCGAGGGCTTAAGCGCTGAAGCATTTAGCATTTAACTTGACAAGTCAGTTCAAAAACGACATGAAACATAGAAAGACATACTAAATATAAACAAATCTTGTTCTCACAGCCACCTACTGTCTCAAATAAAGGTCACCTAACGACTGAGAGGGCACTTGCAAACTCAACGTGTTTCACTAAAAAGAATACAACAACACATAATTTCTTGTGTTTGCCCAAGCCGCAGGTTGAAATTCTCCACTGGTCAAGCAATCATCTGAATCGTCAAAGGGGGGTAGGTCACCATCGTCACCTCAAAAAGTGTGAGATTCTCATCTCTGGTCCGCCCTTACTTTGACCCTTATTACTAGTAGCGAACATTGCTCCTAGTAGTAAGGCCAGGAGCCCCGAACGTAGCGTACTTGTTCCGTTCGTCGCGATGCCCTTTGTTCAAAAACTGATTCCTCCAAGTGACCGAAGTGAACAACCTCAGGCTTGATCGCTCCTGCGACGATGAAACCGATCGTCATGGTGCTCCGGGTTTCTTCGCGTGCGTGAGAGGTCGAGATGTCCTTGAGCCAAACTTTGCGAACGCGGAGTTCGCACCGCGAAGCTCGTGGTGATGTGTTAGCATGTGAGATTTGTTCCAACCAAAAAGATCACCAACCGATTTGCTTGGCATCCATCTGTGGGTGCCTCATCGTCCCATGAAGATGTGAAGGAAAACGCTGCCATCGCCCGTTCACACGCCCTCAAAAGCCACTTGGACCACACGTCCGAACAGCCCCGGTCTGCCAACGACCCGACCCGGCGCGAGGCGCGAGGCGCCGACGAGAGTGGACTCGGGGTCCCCCGACACCTCGAAGTGGGGTCTCGCCGCCTCGATCTTCCGGTCGTAGCAGGGCTGGACCTCGGTGCGACTGGGCGACGACCCGGCCCGAGGAGATGCGAAGGAGGCAAAGGCCAAGGAGATGCATATATACATATATATATACAGTATATATATACATATGCGAGGTTCTTGGAGCCCAAGCTAGCCATTCTTTGACACTTAGCAGATTGATCATGTGAACTTCTGCGGAATTTGGGGCTGACGTTTCCGCATTCCAGCGGCTTCTTCACCAAGCTATAGAGTTTGCTTTTGCTTCACTCAGTCATCATTGGCTTATGCAGTCGCAGGAGCCCTCAAGTGACTCAAGTGTATAATTACACTGACCGAACGAAGCGACCACCCTGGAACCTAGGAATACTAAGGAGAAACCATTATGCCAAAGATCAGACACCATTAAAGACCTGTAAGAGCCAGGGATCCTTCTGAAAATTCCCCGCCAAAGTGGATCCTTGAATGACCTTCCCACATGGAGTGGTCAAACTTCCAAGGATCACAACATGGGAGCTCATCAGTTGGCCATGGTAGGCGTAGGCGATGCACCCAAACACCATCTTTTGTAGCATGCGGGATTGGAACAGGCGGAAAGGGAAATCTTTTGGTAAAACCTGTAGACCATGGCAGGCCCACATGGTCCGCGGCTGTTCAAAAGTGAGGGGAGGCCTTTTCAGCGTCCTTTGTTCCTTTTTTCTTTGCCGGAAGACGCCCCCCTTCCTCGCTCAATCTTCCGCGCTCCCACGACTCGTCGTCTTCGCTCCCGACAAAGACATGGTAGACCTCCTCCGCCGTCACCGGCGTCGGTGGGTCTGACAGGGCCTTCGTGGTTTGCGCCTCACAAGGTCTTCGATCCAGCGGACATGCGTCGAGCGGACGAGACGGGGTTGGACACACTGGGCATTCGAAGAGTAGCTTGCTGGGTTGCTCCTGAATCTCATTGATGATTGTAATAGCTCCTGTTGATGTGTTGAAACCGAATGATGCGAAACTTGGACCCTAATTCCCTAGCTTCCCCCATCGACCGGGAGTCCTTTTCCATCCCCTGGATGGACTCTAAACCGCAGTGAGCTTTTGAAGAGACTCCAAGGAATCTTGCACCCTAGTAGCGATGGCCTCCCACCTAAGAGCGATGACCTCCTGTTCACAATGACCAGTGTGGACCAGTGCGGAACTCTTGGTACCAAGAGGTCAAGGTGCTACCTTCCAGGTCCACTAGGGACTCAAGTGGGCCCGTTTTGAGGTGTAACAGCCATAGGTGAACGCGTTTTGTTCATGGCGAGCAAATCCCAAGATTTGGAATGGGCGATCGGATTGTGAGCTCCCCAGGAACAAAGGCATCGCTACTAGGAGCAAGGACGCTACTAAGGGCGCTCCTGGCCTTACTACTGTTAACAAGAAGCTACTAGGAACAAAGGGCATCGAACAAATGTGCTTAACACATTTGATATGATACAATGATACCATATTAAGTCATTCTACGACCTTCATGGCCAGATCTTTGGAAATCTTCACCCAAACCAAGTGATCCTGAATTCTCGGTATGACCAAAGGATCACCAATCCCAACAACCGCCTCACCTGGGTGTGGAGTTGGAATCAAATAAGGCCATCACATCTGAGCACATTGTTGGACCTTGCTTTGCAAATATGATCCCTCTCTGGTGTTGTGAGACAGGAAAAACACATGAACATGGAACAGGCGGTGGTCAATTCAGGATGCGGAATCACTTCGTAATAATTTGCCCATCACCCGATATTGATAGATAAGACCTGCGAAAACAACTAGAATCCTAACTTGCCATGAAAATTTACAATGGGTCAGGTATGGTCAGGTACTGTATTTAAGCACCGTTTGGTGATGAATCTTTTCCTGCCAGGGTATTTGTTTGGATGACTTTGTTCGGACATGGCACCCAATGGGAGGAGAGGGAACCGCTGATGACGAATTGTGCACATTCTTCACATGAATTGGCCCTCATCAGTGGGGGCAATGAATCAAGGCTCGTGGGAAAACTACAACAGGATCCTGTTGCAGTGCATCGTTCTAGAAACGGTGCAAAGACTCGATAGGAAACACTCAGGTCACAGACTGGAAGCGCCCAGCCCCGCTGAAACGCACAGCCCCAACATACTTTCGCTGCAACACCCGAAGCACGTGCGGTCTGCTTGTCCGGAAGGAGTTTAGATTGAGGCACGCGTGCGCATGGTAACTTCTGTGGCGTGTGTTGTGACAGATGTTTCAGCACCGGCACATGGTGGCAAAACTCAACTTTCAGCTGCCACTGTAGACAAGTTAGACAAACCACTCGGCAAACAAATTTAAATTCCACCCTAAAGCTTCAGCTTCTTTGACCACTTGAACAAGTGTCCCTGCCGTCCCTGCCTGGCATAGCAAGGCCTTGCCCTCCATGGCAAAGAGCGGGCTTCGAGCCTCACTGTCGACCCTAGCTGTGCTCGTGAACTTCTAGGGCAATATCGGTTCAAGATGGTTCAAGACTGCATAGGCGGGAGGTGGGCATACCGCATAACCAAGACTTATGTACGAACATGTTGACAAGCCTAAAGCTCGTGACTTTCATCAAGTTTACACCATCCGCATCCTGGCACCCCGGCACGCCACCATCTGTGCAGCTGGCGCCGATTGTGCGCCTCCAACAGGCAAGTCTTCACCAAGCGGCCCTGCCTCAGTGTACAGCTTGTTCGAAGACAGCTGGAGACTTCAGTCAGGTGCACGCTGTTGTCAAGCCCATCGTTCCAGACCTGGTGTTTCTAGTATAGAATGACTGGAACTATCACAGCCGCAGGCTTGGGCGTACAGGTCTGGAGCCAAACTCAAACAGCCACAGGTTCTAGCCTGCACTTCTCAAGGACTTCTCGTGCAGCTTACAGCAGACGTGCTGAAAACAGTCTCGCTCTCCTACAGTGCAGGATTCAGCGTGCCACAAGCTGAGCGCTTGCTAGATTAGCTTGGCCGCGGTTCCTCACCACTATTGACGTAAGCCAATCCATGGTAGGCACTTCAAATGCGGCACACGAGTCTCTACAATGCATATAGAGTTGGGGGATGGTCTATCTGCAGTCTAGCTTGCGGTTGTAGGAGCTGAAGGCCTACGCCCAGGTGGTAAGCACAAATAAGCACCTGAGTAAAGGAGATTAAAGGAGGCTTGGTAGGTAGACGTGAACGGCTTGCTTAGTACCAGTGATCTCATTTATTGATTTCATCCCTTGCGATGATCGTTCAGCCAATGGAGGGAAGGTGAGTCAGGTAACATGCTGTCTTTCGCATCAAAAGAACATTTGAGAACTGTTGCCATCGAACAAGACAAAAACTCATTAGTCTCGCCATGCCGTCGGCTCCAAAAAAATCTACGCAATGACGGAATGTTTGCCTACATTTCGGGCGGTTTGAAGATGCAGGTAGATATCCATAGTCTTGCGAGGGCAGGATCTACTCTGGCCCTTGGTGGACTTCGCGATGTGTCCTGTGGTTGTTTTTGGCAAACCTCCCATTGCACCGTTTCATGGGTTTAGTGGTTTCATGCAACTCGACCAGGAACCTGGTGATATTTTCGTTTCGAGAAAGGCCGGCTAAGTCATGCTAAGTCTGGTTATTTGTTCTTGGGACTCCTGGCCTTACTACCAGGAGCAAGAAGCTACTAGTAACAAAGGGCATCGCGACGAACGGAGCGATCGGACGCGTGCGCTCCTGGCCTTACTACTAGTGGCAAGAGGACGCTATGAGTAGCACATAAGCGGCTGGTTCGTCCTCCAGGCGTTAAAGGACCCTAAAACATCCGCTTGCTTCGACAGTGAAGGTAGATCAAACTCTTGACAAGCTACGAAAGCAGATCTAGAATCGTCTACGACCAAGGTAGCAGCCCTGAACGAAAAGATTAAGATTCCTGTCATTATTTGTAGCTTCTGTAAATTTGGATGCTCCCGTATTCTATTCTTGCGTCTTACCGCAATGGTCCAAGAAGTCACAACACCCACCCGAAATCCCAGACAATGAAATCTGATATTTGCGCTTGATGTGTTTCGTTTTTCACTCAGAATGGCTTCTAGACCTGAAGGAAGGTACCGAACATATGCCGTTAATTGCAATCCTTTTGCTTTTTTGGTCTAAAGGACTGGGGGAAAAAAAGGCAAACAAGAAGGAAACGAAAGGACAAGAGGAGAAACTCGATAGGTAAAGAACAACAACTGGTTGGAGGCCATCCCTATTAGGTTGGAGGCCATCGCTAGTAGGTTGAAGGCCATCGCTACTAGTAGCTATTTGCTACTAGTAGTAATGCCCTTTGCTCCTAGTAGCTTCTTGCTACTAGTATGGCCAGGAGCCCCGAACGTAGCAAAGAAAACCACGAAGAACGTCCTTCGGTCTGTTTCCTCGATTCCATGCGCAGTCTTGGCCCCACAGCTTCACCGAAACACGAGGTAGCAAAGACCGTGGCGATCGTGAGGGGCAGAGTGGTCCCAAAATAAGACAAACAACTGGTGTCTCTCTATTCCCAAAGGACAAAAACACATCTGATTTTTCTTTTAAAGCTTCATCATCACCTCTTTTCTTTTAGAGTCGAGTTTCTTCCTTTTCTTCTTTGACCTTATTGGACCCTATTGAACCACTGTAATCTGTTCCAAGTCGTGATCTCAGCTGCATAGGACATAGCTAGGAATACAAGAGCCACACGTTTGCTTCGGCCTCAAAGAGCCACATGGCGGCGGCCCAACGGCATCGCCCAGGTAGTTAGGAGTACCAATGGGTCGCCACGTGAGGGCCATCGCTTTGAAGGAACAGCTCGTGTCAGGGAAGCAGCTCTAGCAAGTTCAATCACTAATAGCTGAAGGTTGACACAAGACGTTCAAGTCTGCCATAGGACCGTGGACCTTGGGAAGAATCACAATGACTGCCACAGGCTAAGTTTCACAGGCTGCGCCAACGCGAAAACGAAGCCAAGCAGCACATGCTGAGGAGGGCGAAGCTGGCAGAGCTGGGGCAAAATCACTGGGTCCACCACCTGGGGTTTCAGGCATGTCATCGAGTTCACCACCGTGATCGACAAACAAAAACAACGAGATCACGTTGGGGCAAAACACACTGAACGAGTTTGAAGTTTGAAGCAACGAGTATTAAGGTGTCAAACAGCATTGCTAAAGACTCAACCACTGGTCAAGATCCGGATGGTCCACCTTTCGTGGTCCACATGAAGATATCCCTTACCATATTTTTTCCGGCGAGCGCGCCTTTTCGGCGTAGACGGTCCAGCCTGGCCACCAAGCGACTAAGCCATACAAGCGACCAAGACAACCCAAAGACTAGGCTGTGACATACAAAAAATAGGTTCCAAACAAGCAAGGTCTCTGGCGGTAAAAGCAGGGACCTGATTTGCAAGAAACCCTTACAAGGATGCCATCCTTCTTGCCGGCATGGCGCACAAAAACATCGATAATTTTCTTTGAAGATGTTGACACGTCTAGAACCTTGACACTTCTTTCATGTCCCAGCCATGGAAGCTAAGACTGCCAAGACGTCCCGTTTGTCCGGAGTCCTCCAGACGGACTTCGCACCCGGAGAAACGCCTGGACAGTGGGAGGTGAGCAAAGGCAAACGACCTGATGCGGCCGTTTGGCGATCTCCGGAAGGGTCGGAGTGGTGAGATTGGCCGGAGCAAGTGGGCAAATCAAGTGGACGCACCAGACAACACAAGAATTGCCCCGCAGTGTCCAGCAACTGGATGCCTTTCTCAGCAGGAAACCGACAACGACAGGTCCTAGGATCAGGTTTCGAGTGCAAATCTCGGGATTGGGTCAGTTTTGTGTTTACTCTGGATGAGCCAGCTGTTTGTTGACCAGGCTTCCACTAGCAAGAACACGTGCCCACTAGCGGACTCATCTTGGACGATCACCTCATCGAGGAAGAATGCCCGCCGGGGGGGGTGATTCCGACTCTCCAGGGTGCCTGAAAATACCAGAAACCCGAAAGACCTACAGTAGTAGCAAAAAGCTAGTAGTAGCAGGTGCATCGCTACCAGTAACAAGTGCATCACTATTAGTATTGCAAAAAGCTAGTAGTAGCTTCTTGTTACTACTAGTAAGGCACTTGTTACTAGTACTAGTAGCGATGCACTTGTTCCTAGTGCCTGAAAATACCAGAAACCCGAAAAACTCATGGCCCTTGGCTGCACACATTGGCTGCTCAACCAAACCACTCAGGTCAAAGCTCGACCTCGGGTCATGGTTACGGTCCCCACCTTTGCTGCTGCTGCTGCTCCCTCCGTAAGAGGCCTGGCAAAAGGGAGCAAGGCACGCAACTGCGCTTTATTCTGCGGTGGTCTTTGGAAAAAAAGAGCTCACGATACAAAGAAGAATGTGGCTGTGGACCACTGAACATGAACAGAATAGACTACGAAGGTCAAGCTACGAGGTTCGGCGTCGGGTTCGTCGCCGGGCAACCCAGGTGCCATGACCCACATGTCATCTGTTTTGTCATCTGTTCCTGTAAGGCTAGGAGGTTCTTCAAGGAAGCAAATCTTCCGTTTCACTCACTCATTTGGTTTTCTATTTGTCACTTTTCGGTCTGAACTGTCCTATCCCTGCCCTTGTCCTTTCTGTGCTTTCCTTTTTAGATCTTTCCCTCCTTTTCCATAATGTTAAGTCCATGTATGCCTGATTTAGCCTTTTCCTTTCAATCTTTAAAAGAAAACCGCTCTTTGCAAAAAAGGCACCGCCACATGAGAGACAGGAAATTCGACTAGCTAAAGGCTGGTCAAACCACTGGCGGCTCTGGAGCGCTCGCGCTCCGCGCTCCGCTCGCGGCAAAGGCCGCCTTGTATCTTTGAATGAATTCTGCTTTGCCTGGACTGGAGGCTGGAGACGAAAACAAAAACCTTTCTTCATTGTCCTTGCTTCTTCATTATTTTTTTGACCTCTATTTCTTCCAGTTCTCTTTATTTCTTTATACCTTTCCTTGAGTATTGGTGCTCTTCTGTGGTGGTTGTTGTTCCGGAGGACATATACACTGCTGGCCGCGCTAGTTCGCCAGTGGAATGATGTGCCCAGCTAGCCCCACCACTTCTAGTTCCACTTCTACCTCTTGCGGACGGGTTTGTGACCACTTCATTCTCCATTCGCGGGCTTTTCTCACGCCGAACTCGCTTCCTCTTCACACCTCGACTTGGCTCAGCGATTTCAACCCTCGCCCTGTGGCTGGATCTCCACAGGGGAAGCTCGTACAACCTATCGCTACGAACGGAGCAAGAAGCTAGTAGCTTTTGGTCTTACTACTGGGAACAAGAAGCTACTAGGAACAAGGGCATCGCTACGAACGGAGCAAGAAGCTATCAGCCCACATAACCCGACCGGTGCCAAAGCTGTCCAGAGGGCCAAACAACTCCTGAGTCCCCCTTTTTCCATCTCCATCTCCGTACCTGGATCTTCCAGCTATGCAACATGTACAGGTAAATGTATGCCTTTTTTTTGCAGGCTTTTTAGATGAACAGGCAGGCACTTTTCACAGTTGGAAGATCCAGGTCTGGAGATGGAGATCATATCCATGGCTACTAGGAGCAAGGACGCTACTAGGGGCTCCTGGCCTTGCTACGAACGGAGCAAGAGGACGCTACTAGGGGCCTTTTTCGGCAGACCCGACTGAACCCGACGAGAAGCGCCACGCCGCCTTCCAGCAGCGCCACGGACTCGGCAGCGCTGGTGTCCAAGACGTATTCGACACCCAAGCGCCGGAGGCCCTGGACGCGTAGGGGGACATGCTTTTTGGGCGGGTTTGGACATGCCGCAAATGCCAGTCTTCTGGATTGCCATCTTCAGTGTTTTGCTCTTTTTGCCACAGCATGCCACACCCAGTTGCTTTTGTGGGGATCTTGCCTGGCAATGACATTTCTGTCTGCATGCAAGGATGTCTTTCGCAACAGTATGACACGGGTCTCAGGAAATTGATTCATTGTTGGAGTCGCATGGAGGCCATCGCTAGTAGGTTCTTCTTTAGTAAGTGTTTTTTTGGGAGCAAAGACGCTACTAGGAGCTCCTGGCCTTACTACTAGGAGCAAGAAGGCTAGTAATGTCTATTTCTCTTCATTGGTATTTTGGTCCACAACCGCACCGGACCGCAGACCGCACCTCTGCCGCTTTTCGCATGGTCAGTAACGGATCTTCCTGCACGGTCAGAACAGTCCGGAACGTGCTGTCGTTGTGCCTCGTTGAGGACAGTGATAGCTGCAGTGCAACAGTGCTCTCCTAGTGCTCTGGCCTCTAGCTGTCATGAGTTGATGAGGCACCAGCAAGGAGTTGAGGGGATGCTTCAATCACTGGCCGTGAAAGTGGATCGATTTCGTCATTGGTCATGCACTTGCGGCAAAGGTCTTCCAAATGTCCTTCGTGTAGGCGGCCAAGCTCGTGCGCGCCTACACCAAGCCACCACTCACCCGCGGCTTGGCTTGGGCATTTCTGTTTCTTGGAATGCTGATTGGTGTCTCCAATCGCTGAGAAGTGATGTTGCAGGTAGAACTTAGTTGGAGAAACACGTCTTTGAGCACAGCTTCTTTCGCGATTGGTCTACACCCTTGTAGCTTACATGTAGCTTACCTAGTCCCACACCGGACGCTCTGCTTCATGGAATCCATTCCACGCTCCCTTCGGCGTGGCTACAAAAGGTCGGGAGAACAGAAGCCTGCTGTTCAGATCCAGAACAAACGCCGATCGCTGAACACAAACTCTGATGTAGCCGTGAACGGTTCCACCCATCAAGTGGAAGCAGGATGAACCGAGTTTGAAGAGGTTTTTGAGGTGATCTTCTGTGACCTGGACCCATCGCTCGTGTCGGTTGGCCATCGCTAGTAGGTTGGACGTCGTCCCGTTGAACATGGAACCGCATGGATCACACGTGGATCATGTGGATCACGCCTCGGGGGAGATGGAGACCACCGTCAGGCGCGCAGCCTGGACCAACGGAGCACACCAAGTTCTTCGAAATAACGAAGAAAGAACACTCAAAAGAAGTAACATAACCGTCAAAAGAAGAAATAACGGTTTAACATACGAACTCGAATCCTTAGGACCCATGTTACTCTTTGCTTACTTGTTGGCTGTAGATGGCCAGGGATGCGAAGATATGACTCCAGACCTGAGGCCTTGGAGAATGACGGCCATAAGCCATAATGATACATTATATAGATTCTTTGACCGTTTCTTCTCTTCTTCTCTTTTCAGACCTTTACAATCTTTATCTTTCATGCATGGTTCATAGCTTGCAGACTAGTTGGACTAAACCTGAACATATCAGACTCCGGTGGCAAGGGCTCCAGAAGGCACGACAACGGTCTGCCGCAGCATGCCATGGTCTGCTTTTGAACGCATAACACTCATACCAAACATTTGTGCTGGTTGCTAGCCACTACGCTTTTAGCCGCCCTAATCATTAGGATCCCAGTCGCTGCGTCCATGCCTAGAAGCTAACTTAGCCTAGCGAACTAGTCGCCTTACTTAATTAAGCAGGCGGCAGGCACCTACTGAATTAACTAGGTCGGCCCAACAAAAAACATCGGGTGCGGACGCCTGGGATCGCTTCATGAACTCCTCTGCACTTTGCTCCTGCCTCGAGAGGAGCGATGCACACGGGCCGAACGATGAACATTGCAGGACCAAACAAGGCGGGAGGTTGATAAGTCGATGCAAACTGTCTCAATAGGTGCCATGTTCTCATATGTTCTCAGTTGTTGGGTAAAGGAGTTGCACAACTGCAAACTACCAAGCAATTGTCTACAGAAGTAGAAGTTTTTGCACAGAGTCTTCTCTTGGATCTCGTGCAAGGTGCTTCCAATTGCATCGCCAAGCATGGCACTTCATCCGGGCGATAATATTTGTTTTCTTCTGGAGTCAGTGTTCCTCGACTCATCAACTTCGTTAATCGAACGCTCCCAAGCAACGTCCTCAGCTTCTCAGCACCGAGAAAGAAAGGCGACTCCGATTCTTCACTGGTCGGGGTCGACGACCGTCTTAGACGGGGCTTTCCGACCCCAACTGCAGGCCCCATTGGCCCATTCGTGGGACCGCGAAGGAGTAGCAACCAAATGAATCGTGCGAGCGTGGGCGCGGGGAGCTTCCTTGAAGAAGCCTGAGCTATCCTGCGTTCGTTTGCTGGTAGCAGGTTGCCTAGTAGTTTGTCTGAAGCCACCTACATTAATTATGTAAGGGTGAGGGCAAGTAGCGGGCAAAAAGCACCAGACACCGCGACGAATGCCACCGCCACCGATGAAGCGCGCAAAAACCCGCGCTGTGCAAGCTCGCTGGGCTCCCAGGCAACAAGACAGTCTCGGCAGATGTCACGCAACCCGAACAGGCCAAGCAATCCTTGGTTGTTTCAAGATGGATCCAGTGAATCCTTGAGAGGTTGATCGCTATCAGAGGTTGGTATCAGAGGTTGCTTCTTTGAGGCTTCAGATTTACATCCATCCTGTAGATCCTTTGATCATTGCAGGTTGGTACCATCTTTTTCCCCAAATAGTGCTCCGCACTAAGGGGTTCTTACGGTAAGAGTTAAGCGGGTTTAGATCAGGGTTCGCGCGTGTGGTTTCGGCATTTTGCGTGGGCCGGCTCGCACAAAAGTTACTTTTGAATTCCTCATGTCCATTTCGACTGCGCAGGCTCGCATAAAGTGGTGGCCGCGCCTTTCGCGCTTCCGGGACAAAGCTCTCGTGCAGGTGCCGTGCTCGTTTTCGGACACGAAGTGCATTTTGCGTGGCAGGCGCAAGGAATTCGACGCATTGGAGCCTCGAAAAGGTCATTTTACGTGGCAGGTGCAAGGAATCGGAGACTTTGTAAATTTCGTGGCAGGCGCAGTGTTTTGTTGACGTTGCAAAAACGTTGGCAGGCGTGTGTCATTCGCAGGATTGCGTTTCACGTGGCAGGCGCAGGGAATCCGCACCATGGATGCGATATTTTGAGGTGAAACGGCTGAATTCGTGAGAGGGGTCGCATTTTTGGAATTTGAACTTGAGGATGCTTTTGCGTGGCCAGTGCAGCATTTCGTATGACCTGCAGGCATGATTTCGTCGCAGGCGCAGCATTTCTGAAACGCATTTCAAAATTTACGAAAGCCTCGTGCAATTTGCTCATTTTGGATCTCCGATGTGCAGATTTCGTGGCAAGCGCAGCACTTTGTGAATCTGGATGTGCAGATTTCGTGGCAGGCGCAGCACTTTGTGAATCTCGATGTGCAGATTGCGTGGCAGGCGCAGCACTTTGTGAATCTCGATGCGCAGATTTCGTGGCAGGCGCAGCACTTCGTGAATCTCGATGCGCAGATTTCGTGGCAGGCGCAGCACTTTGTGAATCTCGA